CTAGAGGACCCACGTATATGTTATGTATATATATGTACCTATACGTATACGGAATACATATTATTTATATATATGTGTGTGTGTGTGTTTGTGTGTTTGTGTGTGTATGTATATACATATATATATATATATATATATATATATATATATATATATATATATATATATATATAATCAGTGCTACATCGCCCAGCTCTTAGACACGCACACCTCTGTCGTCCGTTCTGCTTGCACCTTTCTCTATGTAATTTATGCTAATCCTGAGAGATGCAGCAGGTTCCATTATTCACTTCTCAACGTTGCCGAGCAGCTCCATCGTTTACTTCTCAAAATTACCTACCAATTCGTAATCAACCCTGATCGTATCGCATATCTAAATTGTGATTGACTGCACATCGTGCGTGGCAAATATGTATAAAGTGCTAAATATATCACTGTTAATGATATAGAACTTAATATTTGATTAATAGGATTCTTGTCTGTCCATAAATATAGTGTTTCGAGCCGTTCTGTACGTGTGTCTAGCGTGCAAAGAGTGCGAAAGTGGGGCGCATGTGTGCGATCGTCACTGTATACTAATATATTTAGGCCGGTTTTGCCAACTTTATGAAATTGTGAACATAATTTCTTGGATGGAGTAAAACACCTTACTCCGGGAACTAAATTGTGTATTTCATATCCTCGTGCTGAAATTATGAAGCGTATTTGAAATTCTGGAAAATTTTCAGGACAATTTGAAACATGAAATTCTTTCAGATTGTCCCGTTTGGCAACTTTAAATTACAAGACTGCACCTCCAAGAAATTCTCCTCAAAATTCGAAATCCAGAATTTTCCTTTAATAAGTGAAAATGAGGGTCAGACAGCGTTTTCACTTTGACAAGAGAAATATACTGTTCTATTTTAAAATTTACTCTGGCTTTTTGAGCGCGCACTTTTGAAATTACAGTATATCACATTTTTATGTATGTACGTAAATATACATGATGAACAGATTCTAGCTGTTAATTCCAACCAATGGATGGGGTTATACGATAAACAAAAATAGAATTGACAACCACCTACTATTTCTACGGACTCGTGCGTTTGTCAACTGGAAAATTTTTGAGGAAGTTCTGGGCTGCCCTACAGCCAGAATTTGTTGGACTGGCTAGAAAGAAAAAAATCGAATACTGGAAAAGAAATCATCCGAAATGCAGTCCACAATTCCAAAAACAATAATTTCCTCAGAATTTTATAAAGTTGGCAAAACAGGTCTTCACGGCTAGGGTTTTTCCCTCTCGAGTATGCCGGTACAATTTGTTCCGTAGAGTAGTGCGCTGGAATATATTGTCCCTAATACATCATTGGAAAGTTTGATTTTTGAAATGTCAGGAAATAGGGCACTTTTTTTTTAATTGAAAACGAAGAGAAGTAAATATTTAGAGAGAAGGGGCATAACCTTCTAATCAGACAGGGGGCCTGAGCCCTCAGGGCTGAGGGTCTGAGGGCTGAGGGCCTGAGGGCTAGGCCTGAGGGCCTGAGGGCTAGGCCTGAGGGCTAGGCCTGAAGTCCTGAACCTTGATCCCCGAGGCCTGAGCCCTGAGGACTGAGGTCGTGATCATTTTTTTGGCGGGCTCAACACGGGCCCACGGTAAGATTGGCACACTCGCAGAGTCGCCGCAGTCTCGCAGTATGCAGACTCGCAGGCGCAGAGAGTCCAGAGTCCAGACCGCCAGTCTGGGCCAGACAGCGCCAGTCGCCAGAGCCCAGAACCCCAGACTCCCAGACTCCAGAGACCAGAGGCCATCCGCCAGTGTCAAGTCATGGCACCGTGACAGGCGGGGAAATATACAGAATGTACAATGCAGCACAGAGCCATATAAACCAGGCAAAATCAGGTATCCGATCCAATTTATAGTGGACTTGGTTATTGACCACTATCTAGTTTAACTATAGAATGGACGATTCAGAGCTTGCAAGGTACTTACAACAACAGGAAGATGGTTTGTACTCAGAAAGTGAGTCGGAGAATGAATGGACGAAGAAACGAACCACGAAGAAAAGACAAGGTGTAGCCTCGAAGGCTAAGGCTAAAAAACCGAAAGTGGCCAACCCTGCATTTGAAGGTAAGTCTACATTTTTACAGCTGTGCCCCCATCACTAAATTTAAATGGGTGAAAATCATGTGGCTTGACTTGCGATCCCTAATAAGCGGAGTGAGCATACACGGACTGACAAAACCGGCGCTTTTTTAGTGCGTGTTACTGTTCTATTGAGTGATATGCTGTTACTGTTCATACTCTTGAAAGACTTTCGAGGCAAATTATCGCCGGGATTGTTTTATTTCTTTGGGTTATGTGGTATGCCACATAGTATGTTTCGCCAGAGCCTTCTGAAGCGTATTGTAGTTGCACTCTTTCACACTCAGGTCTACGTACACGAGCGGAAAAAAACATACTCACGATGCGTTTATGATACACTACACGCGTGTGGAAAACGTACGAGACCCATCTGCTTGGTACAATTCTACTCGTGGTTGAATATATTAGTCGATATTTGTAGAAAGGAAGTGGCTCCATGTATGTGCCATGGAAACAGAAATATACTTGCTGATACACTTCTCATTGCAGTTGCCTGAAACTAATTATGTTTACAGTCATCTTAATCATGAGGTGATATTGATGTATTGTTAATCATCGAAGCTAATGTATTGACGTGAAATATTACATAGCGCATTATGAAGTGTAAACTTTTCTTTGCGTATATATGTAGTTTTTCTGCGTAGTCTTTGATCTCGAAAACAAAAAACTTGCTAGGTGAAGTTTTATTGTGACTATCAGACTTGATCTAGCAGCGCATGAACGTGAAAAACCATATTATCTCAAGAAGTAATCGAGATATTAGCCGTCTACTTACTTATCTTTGGCAGAATTTCCGCCTTTCTTCTGGACTGGCCGTCAACGAAATCTGTACGTTTCAAGCTTAGACAAAATGAAAGAACACGCTAAACCAGATTGTTGTCTAGAACAAACGATCGAGTTATCTTTATTGTGACATTTATGTTCGACGAAAGTAGGAATTAAGCGCTAGAGGTATTTTCTATTAGGCCTTTTCGTACAAGTGTCAGCACTATAGTCGCTCTCTTTGCAAGTAAGTTTCATAACTATTAGTTTTAAATGTACCTTGTTCATGGTCTTCACCTGCTCAGCAGGGAAAAAACCTCCAGCGAAAAAGATGGTATGGACTCCAGAGGAAGAAAAACTTTTTCTGGAGGGCTTAGAGCTATATGGTCGGGACTGGGCGATGATAGCAATGCACTGTGGAAATACACGAGCTAAGCAGAATATATCTAGTCACGCTCAAAAACATTTCATCAAGCTGTTTATAGGTGGGCATTGTCTTCCGGCTAAAGTCATCGAATCAGGGTCAGGATACACATTGTCTGGTAAGCCTTTGGACCCCAACTCGGCAGCTTTAAAAGCCTACGGTAACAATACCGAATACCGCGTATCGCTGAAAAATAGAAATTCTCTTCCACAAAGTAGTACAACAGAGGAGAGCCCAGCATCAGCACAGACTACTATAGCACCCCACCTTGATACTATAGTTCCGCAAACAGCTGTTCAGAATGAGCCACCCTTGATTACTGCGAAGAAGAAAATCACAAAATCGCCGGAGATTAAACGTCGAAACCCCAAACCTACTGTACCAAGGAAAGAAAAAAGTATAGCTCCAGTAACAACTGAGCGATCGGAATATAGCACGCGTAGATTAAGAACTGCCAGGAAGCAGACATACCGGTTTGTTGATAACCGTGAAAGGTGAGTTACAATGAAAGCAAACACTACACAAGCACTGCACTGTTGGAGAATGTGATCGTCGATTTTCGGCTCCCAGTAGGAGCACTGACATGCAATATATTGCCAAGGTTATCTCATTATACTTGTCCTCAAACATATTCGACGTGGTTCGACATTTTACAGTGACCCACTGCACATGGTGACCACGAAGAGCTATACAGAAGACCATATCCAACCGTTCAATATTACAGTACTTCCCCAGGCCACAACTGTCATGGATTTTCACGCACATTTGGCCGTGGCCGAAATTATTGGACTGCTTGCAGGAATATGGTATGTATATGATTTGTCCGGTATACGTTAACGATTTATTTTATTTTTACCTCACTGTGTTAAATGACTGGTTTATGTGATGTTAGTTCACTGAAGCTCACGGAAACAATTGCTGACACTAATATTCTCACGAACATGTGGTTTAATAGGGATCCCGAGACACAAACAATCCAAGTGATACAGGCTTTTCCATGTAGAGAATTGCAAAATGGTAATAACGCTGCTATCGCTGAAACACAGGTGGAAATGGATCCCGTCAGTGAAATGGAGGTATTAAAAATTAATCTTTGTATTTAATGCAGAATCTCAACTAGGCTTCTGGGAGAGAGGAGTCGTTCATTTTAACTAACATGCATCGACACTGTATCCCAGGAGTTTAACTCACAGTGTATAAAACAAGAGTAAATTAAAAAAATCTTTTAATTTTGCGAATTTGCTCGCTTGATTCCGACCTTATCCCAGGTGAGAGAAGAAATTGCGAATCTTGATCTCATTGTGGTTGGTTGGTATCATTCGCATCCCACGTTCAAGCCCTTCCCCTCTAATACGGACGTTGAGAATCAATACAACTACCAGGTATAGCGTTCTATCGTATAATTGCTCGAGGATGTTTCTGATGTTTCTTTGCTCTAGTTGGATCATTCGCGTTGAGTATATGACTCTCTGCTATAGTACACTTGCCGATCACTAACGAATTTGAATTCTCTTCGCTTTATTATTCTCACAGAATTTATTTAAAGGCGTCGATTCAGCTAATGCCGCATACTTTGTCGGCGCCATCGTCGGTATGCATCTTTTGTTATTATTTGCACAGGACATCGATCCGCTCATTTCTGTCAATTCTATTGTCGTACACCAAATCCTATGGCCATTTGAATTTTACTGTTGTGCTAATATTAATCGTTTTCTCCTTATAGGCCCTTACGACACAGAACTGCCTTCGGAGAAGAGTGCTTTCAACTGGTTTCATGTACAGATGGACGATGACAGGCCCCAAGCATATATCCTGAGCACGGAACAGTTGATAAATCGAACGACAGATGTAGAATCGGTTGTGCTTTCTAAAATGGTATGGCGGGTATATGATGCAGGAGCAAGTTATCTCGTTCCGTTCATTTTGTGTATTGTCCTATTAACATCCTATTCGACGTTTTACTATGTTCTATAATTATAGCGAAAACTTGTCGACTACTACAAGGATTATGAGCACCGCACGCAAAACTGGTCAGCCATATGGCGTTTATGCAAGAGGGTCTCCTTTGATTCCAGTATGTTAATGTGAGATCTCGTTTCGAAATGCAATTTTTGTTTTATTTTAAACCCGAATTTATTTTAAATATTAATTGCAGGCACTGTATAGTATTATGGTCGTAACATGTTTTTCAGCCAACTTAGTAAGCACTTCTCATATCCGGCGAAAGGGTGCAAAATCGAATTTAATGTCTCATTGCTCTTTTTGATTCATCAAGTACGAGATATAGCAGATGCAGCGGGCGCGACTACTTCATCCAAATTGAAAAATCAGAGATCAACAACGGAGAATGTTGTCGCTCGCACATACATAGATAAAGCTGAGATTGCTCTTCGACATCGGTTAACTGGATGCTCGCAATCATATACCGAGGATATCGTACGTCAGACGATGGCACACTTGCGAGAAAATTGGGCCATGCAATAGCATAGCAGAACTGCTGGTGAATATAGATTCTACGTCGGTTATTAGTTTTTATTAGTACTTGCGAGATAGAGCTATCTATAGAGCATTAAATTTCTAGTTGAGCTCTTGCTTCAGTAAATTCTGCCTTTATCCGTGTGTGCCTGTCATGAACATACTATACTATAACCCTTATTTCCTAACCTTATAATAATCGCATATTGTGTTGTGCATCATCATGATACTGTGAATTCGCCAGGAGTAGCAGAACGTTACATGTTCACCAGGAGTAGCAGATCACTGCAAATTCACCAGGAGTAGCAGATCACTGCAAATTCACCAGGAGTAGCAGATCACTGCAAATTCGCCATGAGTGGCAGATCACTGCAAATTTACCTGAAGTAGCAGATCACTCAGGAATCTGCTCGGATTCTATTTTAGCAGGTATCGCTTTATTGATTTACCATGTGGAACGTCTCATATGCATGGCGAAGTCCATTACGCGCCAAGCAGCCTTGCCATAAGTTCCCTCCTCCCGACAAAAGGCAAACGCATATAACACATCCTCAATAGCATCCTACAATAAAACGAATTGCAATGGGTGTAAATGCAATAACTGAGAAGACAGCGATTCGCGATAGAACAAATTTTCAATAATCAGCTCAGATCAATATAGGCTCGAAACGTGCAAAGACGGACTAAAATCGGAATATTGCACACAACACGATAACTTACAGGATCGCCGTCGACTACTTTGCCAGCCTTATCCTTCTCCACTGTGATCTGCTGCACCATACACGTTACGGTCAAAACTGGACCTTGCTCCATCATCATTGCGTTGAAAATCTATCAAAGTGGACAAAATGTGTTTTAACTTTGCTTGGATCCAGGGTGTCGATCAATTTACTGAAATGATTTTGAACTCTCGAAAAGATTAAAAACAAAATACACGTTGACTTCATTAAGTAAAAGACACTTACATATAGGTGTTGCGCAAAAAAAAAAATTGGTCACGCAACGAAATTTCACAGCAGTTCCACTTACATCTACGTCTCTTATGTCCAAGATTTTGACGTCTACAGTGTGCCCAGCATCCTTCTTCAGTTTGATGTTACTTGCTAGCACGTTATATGTGGGCTCAGAGCACCACGCTTCCAACGTTTGTAGGTCTTGATTGAAATAAGACTCCAGCAGAACGGGAATCAGAGACTTGTGGGCATGCTGTGAATTAAGAATCAAAATTGTATAAGCACTAGCGGCCATTAAATAAGAATCAAACCTGTATAAGCACTAGCGGCCATTAAATATCCAGTATATTCTGTCTTATTGAACAAAAGGCAACTCTGTATACGTATGTACAGGAAAAAGATCCTTCGAGGCATAATATCAAGCGATGGAACCTTATAAAATGACCAGCGGGCTATCGATACTTACCTCTATGAACTCCTCTCGTTCGAAATCAGGATCTTGCTTGCAAATCTCTCTCAAAACAGTAATCATTTCACTCTCCTTGAACATGCCACTGAGACCATCTGCCACCACATCAGTGATAGAGCGCATCGATCGGACAAATATATTATCACTCTCATCATAGTGCATCTTCCACTCGAATGCACGGTTTGTGATAGGATTATTATCTTTGAATTCTTTCCATTTGGAGAACCAGACACTGTCCTTGTGCATGACCATGCCCGTAGCGTCTGTATTAGCCTCTACTATGGGCTTGTCGAGCTTCACACCTTTTATTATACGTTCCCTGTCGGCGACACTTGGCTTCTGATAGGGTTTGAATTTAGCAGAGTCGAGTATTGTACCCTCCAGCAGCTCCGACCTGAGCTGGCTAATTTTATGCGCAGCATCAGAATTTGAAAATTCCGCACCGATCTGTTGTGTAGCCTTACCAGCTTCCTTACCAGCCTGATTCCGTGTAATGTGGAAGGAAGATTTGGGTGCGTTGAATCATTCGTAAACCACAGTAGGCTTGGGATGGACAACATACTTCGATTTGCATCCCCAATATATTGATGGTAGTAAACATTCCGTGCAATGAAATAGTCCCAGCCAAATTATGCTCACTCTAGATACAAACACGATGCAGTCCTCAGTGTTAGCAGTACAGTGAAATGCAATCAACAATTCAGTTCAATGCACGTAGACCGCAAAGTAAACGGGCCACCGAATCACGCGCTTCAAACCAAGCGTACGTATAGAATATAACATGGACTCGTAACGATGCACGTGGATACCATCAATACAAATCAAAACTAACGAACTTGTACAATAATGGACGACAAGACTAAATATTTGACTGATTGTATTGAAAGCTAGACAATAACTGGGAGGTACCTTTTTAAAGCACCGGTATTCATGTCCACAATCATAAAAAATCTCTTTGTCGTGCATTAGATTGATGAAATGGATTTGTTAGTTCAACAATGACAAATATGGCAATATGTACCTGAGCTGTGAAATCACCCGCTTGCTTGGCGAATTTGGTTGCACCCAGCTCATCGGCGACCTGGCCCAGATTGTCCTTAACCTTGCCCAACGTCTCAGAAACCTTTTTGGCATTCTGTTGACCCTTCTTGCTGCTCATTTTCGAACTACTTTTCACACTTTCAGTAGTTGGCGTCGACTTCGGTGCAGTTTCTTCTGCTCCCTTTTTGATGCTATTTAGGAAATTCTTCACCATGCTCATGTGACGAGCCTATATAAGCGCCCATTGGAAAGCATTACCAGTGACGTTGAATGTTAATTCCTTAGTCTAATAAAAACATGTAGGAGAGAGAAAGAACTATTTCATAATTTAACCCAATCAACACGATTCGTGCTCACTTAGACAACACGAGGGACAGGCAGGACACTCACTTAACACAGCCAACAAGAGTCACAACACTCGTTTGCTAGTATTAAAGTACTACATATCTAGAACTACGATGGTGCATACCTGCGGTCTAGATGCTTGCCCAACATGGCCACCAGTATTCACGCAAGCCGCCAGGGGGGAGCATCTCAACCTCTGTAGGCAAATTAGGATACGCGTCAATAGAACACGATTAGATAGCTGAACCCATGAATAATCTGTGAACTTTTAATTTAAAAGAGGTATTCGTGCACAACCACGTGCATAACACACTCACAAATGAATCAAATTGCTGCAATCTGGTAGGACTGAGTGCGTTTGCATTCATAGATTTCCCATAATGAGTAGGAATTGCTCGTAAACTGTTTCTAGAATATTCGGCTTACCAAGGTAAACATGATGTCGGCTTAATCGATGTCGCAGTATTGTAGCACAGATGATTTTTAAGAAGTGTTCGATTCAGTACTAACACTATATTTCCTTGGTGTGCTTAAAATGCTATTCAATATAGTCGTATCACTTGCAGTACTATCCGCGTTTACCATATATATTACTTTGTGTCTTACAATAGCTCAACTACTATAGAGAGCATAAAATACAACCCAATATCTGATATTTTGCTGATATGAGAAAGTTGTAACTGGTCATGAATCCACGCGATGTCACCTAAATACAATAAAACTTTGTTGCAATTTATTTAGAACACTTTTGAATGTGTCCCGAATCTGGGTTAAAAGGTATTTTAAAATTAATACAAAAGTAGTAATTACAATTGTTTCTCGTGTTTATTTACGCCAGAAGAATGCCAAGAATGTGATGAACTCCCAGCCACCAAGAGTCCACAACACTGACAAGTACAACACAGCCGCACCTCTTTTTTCTGCTTCACCACAAAAATATTATAATTAAAAACGCCGCGCCACACAGCGGGCTCGAGGGACCGGCTGACGTCTTCCAGAGACCCAGACCACAAGACGAGAAGGGAAGAGTCCAGACTCAGCAGTCATAGATGCGATCGATCGTCACAGTAGTAGTAGAAACAAAAAAGTAAAAGTGAACGTAATAAATCAAAAGCACTTGCGCCAAGAATTAGAGTAAAGGTGCTAGGAGTCTAATAGAATAGCAGGGGAATTCTCTTGAATTAGACTCAGTACCCCTACTACTAGCCGAGCTCGACGACTGGCATAGACACAACCCATAATCGCTTCCATAATTCTGAAGTGAACACCAGCGACGATAGTATTCTGCGACCTGAGTATACCTTACTGAAAGCTCTACATACATCTGCACGAATATCAACATGATGAATAGAACTATCGTAATGATCCCGCCATCACCCACGGTCTACATCCAGGGACTCAACGAAAAGACTAAAAAGCAAGGTTTGTATGCGCAAGCATATGCATATAGATATATATATATATATATATATGGATATATGGATATACATGTGTGTGTTTGTATGTATGTATGTGTTTGTGTGTGTGCGTGTGTCACACTATATGTACATATGTGCATGTATATGTATGTGTATAGGTATAGGTATATATATGTGTGTGTATGAATATATGTGCCTACGTACGTTTTATATATTAATATATATATATATATATTGTGTATACGTATATATATATATTGTGTATACGTATATATATATATATATATATATATTGTGTATATCTGTGTATATGTGTA